TGGCTTCACTGAGTAACGCAAGCCCCTTCGCCACGACAAGGCAGTGATCCATGAAGGGGGGTTTGCAAATAGGCAAGCATTAAAAAAAAAAATTAATCAAACTTCTAAATGTCTACTGCAGGCTAACTCTGAAACTCCTTCCCACCGCTGTGAGTCTTGCTAAAGCATCAGCACTTCTCCATTCTAGATTTTAGGGGTGAGCTCCTCCAGGTGAAGCAATACATATATGTCTGTGTGCACATGTTAAATATGCATCCCATTTTTCCTTCCTTCCCTTGATCTTCACTGGAATGCAGGCCAACTAAATCGATTCACCTTTGTGTTATGGGCAATCATTTCTCTATGAAATGATTCGAATTTTGTAGAGTCACAAGGGCTGAATAGAATTGTTCTTATTCTCCCTTTAAGACAAAACACACAGCATCAGAAATAACATATGTATCAGTAGTCCCCTCTTTTTCTTGGCAGCTATTGAAACAAGGCATCTAACAGATACTGGAAATCCCTCCCATGCATTTATTTGATCTTAAATACATATTTATATAAGCCTGAAATTTTTTCCAAGGCTTCTCTTTGCCTCTAGTAAATGACATTAAATAAAGAAGGAGATATTGTGTGAATACTTCTTTTTTTTTTTTTAACAAGAAAACAAAATACAGTTTTCTTCCCAGATTTAGTCATATTGTGGAGTCCAGCACATGGTACAGAAAATTTCACCAGGATTTTCCTAATCCTTGCCAGTAAAAATGCAATAATATTAACAATATATTTCCCTTTTATGACGCCCTGATGACCAAAGTTGCTATTTCAGTTGCCTAATGGGAACCCTATCTGTATCTTAATTTCTCCTGCATATATCTTCTTCTTAATTTCATGAAATGTCATTAATAAAACTCTACAGGCCTTTGACACCCTGTAGCCCAGATCTTAAGTAAGTGCGTAACCAAATAGCATGCCATGATCTGAATTGTAGCTTTAATAACTAAGCTTACTAGATGAATTTTACCTTTAAGAGTTAAGCATACTACATGTAAAACTAGATTGTTTTACAGGTATAGTGATTAGAGCAGCCTTCCACAAACTTGGGTGCCATCTATATGTTCTGACTTCAACTCTCTGAATTTCCCCAGGCAGACTGGCTGTTGCTGAGAATTCTGGGAACTAAAGTCCTCATTTCTGGAGGACACCAACCTGGGGAACAGTACGTAAGATTGTTGAGCTGGTGACAAGCTGCTCTATGTTCAGAAACTCACTGCCCACATGAAGCACACTGGAAGACTTTGGGCCAGGCTGGTTGGTTAGACACCACCAAATCTTGTTCAATTTCTGGTGACTATATGGACTGTATGGACAAATGGTTGCCATCTTGACCTGTCTTTAATAATAGCAACTCTTCCAAGGACATTGGAGTAAACTCTCATCCCATCTATCCTCTTGATCTGTTGTCTTCTCCTTCTATTTCTCTCAGCCTTGCCAGACATAATAATTTCTTTTGGTCCATCATCTACTCACTTTACATGCCCAAAGTATGTGAATTTCTGCTTATTGACTATCTCCTCTAGGGAGCAGGCAAACTTTATTGGTCCAGAACAGATTAATTGGTATTTCTTGCATTCCATGATGTTGGTAATTATGTCCAAATACATAATTCAAAGGATCTGTCATCCTTCGCTTGTTCTTTCTCAGTGCCTAAGTTTCATACCACTAGAAAATATCTTCTGCCATTATCTAATGTGCTTGTAGAGTGGCTTTGAGGATACAGTGAAGGAGAACTGTGTATGATAATCTAAGCTCTTTGGCAAAAGAATGATATGTACATGCAACTAATAACATTTCAATAATATTTGAGGAGAATTTATTAATAAGAGGTGAGAAGTTGTGGAGATCTCCCACAATTACCTTGCTGGCCAGGGCTGTTGGAGGTTGTAATCCAGCAAGCTGCAGTTTCTCCAGCCTCGCTCAAAAGAGAGCAGAAGAAAGTTATCTTCACTATGTCTCTTGTTCTTCCTCTCACCCGATCCTCTCCTGTAATGTTACACATATATACACACACGTACATATATGCGTTTCTGCTTTGGCTCCCTACTGGGACTAGAAATTGAAAAACACTCAGAAAGAATATTTTACTGAATCTTAATAAACCTGAGTCATCTTGACAAACATTAGCAAATTCAAGGTTTTCAACCTCTCCAGAGAGGTAGGAAAATATTATTGTCTACATTTAAGCAGATGAAGACATAGGCTATGCAGTAGATAGTGACTAATTTACAATCAAAGAACAAGAATCTGCTGGGAATAGAAATATCCAGACTCCGGCTTGGGTGACAGGTACCCTGTGGCTTCATGACAGAATAAAAAGAGATTGCATACATCAAGGATTATTGAACAGATAGAATTCCTCCCCTTCTCCCCAAACTAAGCACTGACTGAGCTTAATTGGATGGTGTGTGGAGCTGTTTGGTGGTCCTGATCGGTTCGGTGGGCAGCCAGCAATGTTAGTACCAGTTACCTGGGCCAGCAGGAGGAACAGGAAGAGCAGCAGCGAAGACACCTGGCATGATGGCAGTGGACAAGCGGCTGGAAGGGGCCAGTGGAGCCCTATCAACATCTCCCTGGGTGGCAGCTGAGTGGGACTGTGTCGGGCGGTGGCCCCTCCATTGCGGAGGCCCCTTGATAAGCAGTGCTCAGGCGATGGAGCTCAGCAGTGCTGTGGATCAGCTGCCTTTGCTCCAGCTGATGGGTGATGCAGAATGGGCTCCAGAGGACATGGCAGCACGGCAGAGTGAGCCGCAACAGGCAGCTTAGCCCCTGCCCTTCGTCTTGGTTCTGCCACCATAGACACTATAAAGACAGGCTGGACCACCACAGGATGAGTGGTGGTGGCTATGGGGTCCTGGCCATTGGAATCCCAAGTGGAGTGGAGGGCTCAGGCGGCCAGGCGGTTTGTGGCAGCAGAAGCAAGGCAGCAGACCTGTGGGGGAGCTACCTTGTGTCTCGCAGCTGCCGCTGAAGTAGCCCCATAGTAAAGCAGCCATTTCACTGGGGTCCCTTGCCTGTCTGGGAGGACTGGGGACTGAGGTGCTGGCACCCGCATTAAGGACATGCGGTGGTTAATGCCTCTTTGAGGGAGGGGTGGTGCTCCCCCTTCTTAAGACAACTTTCGTCCATTCTCCAACCTTCCCTTTTTGGGGAAGGTTGTTGAGAGGCTGCCTGGCACGCAGCTCCAGAGGGCCCAGGATGAAGCGGATTATTTTTCACCTGGATTCAGGCCGGGGTATAGCACTGAGACAGCATTGGTCGTGCTTGTTGATGATCTTTGGAGGGCTTGGAATGGGGTGATGCAACTGTCCTGGCTCTCCTGGATCTCTCGGTGGCTTTTGATACCATTGACCATGGCATCCTTCTGGACCAGTTCCAGGAGTTGGGAGCAGGAGGCACCGTTTTGCGGTGCTTCTCCTCCTTTCTCCTTGGCCAGTTCCAGTTGGTGTTGGTGGGTGAGGAGAGGCTGAGCCCTAGGCCCCTGCAGCGTTCGGTGACTCAGAGCTTGGGTGTCTCCCCTCTCCTTTCTAACATCTGTATGAAACTGCTGGGTGAGGTCATCCAATAGCACGGGTTATGGCTCCCCCCAGCGATTCGGCAGGCCCCCACCCACTTAGCCTTTCGGAAGGCCTTTTTACCGAGGTGCTGGGGTAAGTTAGGATAGAATAGAAATAATAGAATGAAGGTAATGGGAGCATCCTAAGGGGATGATTAAGGTGCAGGGTTTTTTTTGTTTTTGTTTGATCGTTTTACTGTTTTATTTTATGGTTGTTTTATGCTCACTGGTTTCCTGTTGTTGTGAGCCGCCCAGCATTCTGGGGCCGCCATATAAATCTTTTAAATAAATAAATAAATAAATTCAATATCGTGATTGCAGCCTTGATGAAGGGAAAGTTTTAATCTTTTTCTTCAGGATCGTATTCATCAGCCTTCGCCAAAAGATATTTTGGATTGCACAGCTGCATTACACCGTCTCCAATTTATTCCTTGCTGCAGTGCTCCCTGAATTCAAAATGTTCTCAGAAAGATTGGAATTTTCACCTCTTTATTCAGTCTTAAAAGGCATAGGGGATAAACCAATTAATTTCTGCAGAAGCTTCTACAGATAGCAGATGTATCAAGACAAGTCCAGGATCATTTTCTTGTACTGGAGGATCAGCCACACTAGTTAGAAATACATACAACTTCTTCTGGTAGATTACTAATATATTTTGTTAAAAATTTAATTTTGATGAATAGCAATTATTCAATCCCAGGATGAACAAGCCACCTATTCAAATGGATGTCTTCCATTCATTCCCATTCTGGGCCTCTTCATCGTGCTAGTGATGTTGTTCAAATTCTCTTTAAGGTCAGTTCATAATTCTCCTTGGGATGTGTAATTTTCATTTTGCAAAGCAACACCCCCCAGACACACACACACACAATCTTGCATGCAGATGAAGCTGTTTTTAATCAATGCATCAAGTTTCCCTTGTGTTGAACTCAACTCTTCTGTAACTATCTGTTTCTGGACATTTCCATGCTATTTTCCTGGCAATGTTATCAAATTGGTTGGCCATTCTTAATTTTCAAATACTGTAAGCAATTTTTTTTTTTTTAAATAACCCTTCCAGTCATAGCCTATAGCCCTAGTATTCGTTTCTTGGAAGTCTGCCATCCAGGTCCTAACCTAGTCTTCCAAGTTCAAGCAAGAATAGCCAGGTGTTGTCACCTATGTAAATTAATGCATTTAACGATTAATGAGCAACTATCTAAATGAGTTGTGATAGAAAAGAAAAGAAAGCTTGTACAAAATGTTTTACACCATCTTAGGGCTCGATACCATTGCCTTCAGCTGAGTCATCCCCAATTAAACTAAATCTTTGTGCTTTTCTGGACTGTGTTCCATAATAATTCCAAGGGAATTACAGGATCACAGTCTTGCTTCACCCTTGAGGTCATGGAGCCTCCTTGTCTCATCCCATCATCCTTGTTTTTCTTAAGCA